AGAGAATTTTAACATTTATTTATTTTTTCTTAGTTCTCGGCGGACACAACATTATTGGTATGTGGTGCTGCTGAGGATCGAACCCGGGCCGCACGCATGCTAGGGGAGCGCGCTACCGCTTGAGCCACATCCGCAGCCCTAGGTTCTTCTTTTTAAGTTGGATTTATCAATCTTTTCTATTATGGTTTCTAAAATTTTGAGTTGTTGCTACAGAAACCTTTCCCACTTTAACATAAAAACAAAGGAGAGAGATAAAGTTAATTAAATTTTCTGCATACCTTTTTGTTTAGAGGGGGACGTTAAGCAAAATGGTACATGGCTCCATAATAGGTCACACTCCCACATATTAGCCAGAGTTCTTTGCAAAAAGTGGCACACAAATTCTGACATAACCTGTCTTTAGAAACGTTTCCCTGCCCAATGAGATATAACATGACCAAGATTTATCAATAGCTTGTGTTCAACTACTAGGGAAGACTTCATTTAGAGTAATGGCCTATATAATCTATTGTATAAACATTAAGGCAGCAAATAATTAATGTTCACAAATCAAATGAAATTTCATACAATATAAGAATAATTGCTCATCCATAACATCACAAAAAGGAATAGTGCTTCACAAATATACTGATTTCTATATTCCTGTGAGAGAAGTGATGAGAAGACTGCAAAAGAGCACTAGCATCTTCATATAATTATACCCAAACATCAGCTATCATTTGAGTACATTTCACTTGCCAGATGTTTTAACTTTATAATGAATGTATCACAATTTTACAAAGGTGAAAGGTATGAAACAGATTAAGAACTGTCAAAGCCAGGGGTTGTGGGTATGGCTCAGTGGTAGAGCATTTGCACAGATTGCAAGTTCCATCCTCAACACTTAAAAAAAAAAAATCCAAGTTCAAAGAGCTGTTAATGGCAGAAGTGGTAATTCAATGTGATATCAAAGCTTAGTTACACATTTTCCACTGTTTTAACACAGATCACCAAACACTTGGTGTTGTTGGTAAGCTCGCTCAAATTTTTTTCCAAAATGAAAAAAAAATATATGTGGAAACTTGTAATTTGGGTCATTCCAAACATTTTTATAAAAAACTAATTGTGTCTGATTTTCTTCTGTCTTAAAGCCTGAGTCACCTGTGTATGACAAGGCTATCACCAGCCAACAAAAAAATAGAACACGGTATGTCTGCTGAATGAGTGATATGCAACTGTGAACTATAAACATATGAAAATTAAACGGCAAAATCTATGCAATTCAGACACAGCTGTGTAGGGAAAAAATAGTGCTGATTTAGTGCCCATGCTCATTTAAATTGTAAAAAAGTTTAAGTATGACTTATGTGTAATAAACCACCTTTAGAGAATTAAAAGACGAATTTACTATTCACATACCTTCTATTACAAACTCAAGTTGGTAGAAAAGTTATCTGCAACCATTTCAAATTATATGCATATGTTAGGTCTGTACAGGTGGAGTGAGCTAATCAACAAAGGTAATGTTTGATATCTAAGATTTTCATCGACATCAATTATGAAAATGTCATTATAAATCATTATGAATGTACATTACTAAACCAATGAATAGTCAAAATGATCTGAATTCACTGAATTATTTTTAAGTAAATGGGAGAAACTTCAGTGAGTCTAAACAATATTTCTATTGCCCCTGAAAATGTTTTTGTTACTGTATCACAAAGCTAACAATTTTCTCCCTATATAATATTCCATGATTTGGTTTCATAAAGACACTGCACCAATGACCCTATAACTATATATATACCAAGTAAGAAAAACTGTTCTCCAAGATCACAATGATTATGAGACCTAATTTTTGTGTATGTGCATTCTAATTAAAATAAAACACATGTATGAGAAGCATCACATATTTAATGTCAAAGTTTGAATTCAAGTACAAAAATTAAACAACACATGATTTCAACATTAAAAAACCATAACACTTCTTATTCAAACAATACAGCAAATATCAAAAACACAAATGAAGCATAACTATAAAAACCTTAAATATATTAACAGCAAAATTACAATTTTTGTAACAAATAATTATTAACTAAATTATTTAGTTATTTTCAAGGACCACAATGTTAGATTGCTTTTTCTTTAGTACTGCATAAAATTTGCATATTAATCTTTTTGCCTCATCATTTCTTTCTACATAATAGCTAGATGCTTCTGGTTATATAAGTGTTCCAATTTCCAATACAGATAGAGATCCTTGGTCATCAATCTAGTATAACATTGTCTTCAAGTGGTTTACATTTGTGAAATGCTATACTGCAAAGTTATACAAAAAAAAAATAACAATTACTGGGATCTATTACCCACTAAGAAATTAAGAAAATCTCAAAAGTTTAAAAAGAATAGTAGCTTGCTAAACCACTGAATAACTTTTTAAACTTTCCATTTTTATAAATTTTGCAACTCTATGTTATTATTTGAATTATAGCAGATGTTTATTATGTTGGCATAAACATATCATTTTTGAAGCCAAATGTGCAAACCCGATTCACAATATTTTAATTTGCATGCTTTTCACAAGAAATTTTCATACTAATGTTTACAGATTTTCTTCAGAAGAATGAGGCCTGATTGGAGATATATAGTCGTTGTCCAACATGGCTGCCATTAGCAAGAGATATTGTTGGTGACAAGGGATAACTTGGATAAGAATAAGGCCTTGAAGTATAAGGAAGCACGCTGGGAGTCCCAGAAGAGAGGGTAGCACTAACAGGGGAAAGACTATTTATTGAGCTGCGACGGAAATTGTAGTCTGTAAATAAATACATGAACAATTATGCTGCACATCTTTATGGACACAAATTTAATTCAAAGAGATAAAGCATTAAAATTATAATCACATTTTAACATAATGTTCTAACATTTTTAAAATCCTGATGATACTGTACTGGTGGTAAAGATTATTTCCATATTCACTGCAATTCAAGTCCTTAGTTTTATCAAGTCAGTATTAATGTTGCCTTCACTGACACAGTGCATTTCAGAGATCTTACTAGAATGTACTCCTTGTCTTTATTTATATAATTTTTTTAACATAGAAAAAGAGAACCTCTGATTTCTCTTCTCCTGTTCTGACACTAAGGGGCAGTTCATGAAGAAAAGATAAAAAAACAGAAAATTCATAGTTGCTTTTTTTGAAACTGTATTAAGCATCAAACCAGTAGAAACATTTACCTCTGGATTTCAGAAACATTTGGTAGAAACTAACTGTCCAATATTTCATTATTTAAATGCTAATATAAACATTTATAAACTCAACATACCAATTTAACATTAGAGTCCTACTGGTACCACAAAATAGTAAAATGAATCATGTTGATAAAATAAACTTTTAAGAAACCATTATCAACTTATAGTATAGAAAAATATCCAAAAATTAACCCAAATTATTTAAAAAACAATTATATTTGAAATATTATTGTTACACAATAAATATCCATCTTATGCACCAATAATTTCCTGCTTCATTAATTGTAATAATTATATGTGTATACTGAAGACCAAATTTTCAAATCCTGTAGTTTCCAAAAACTCAACTATGTTCTTTAGTGTAGATAAGCCAAAGTGTGACAATGACTATTTATAAAAGTTATCATGTTTCTAGAAATAGAAAAAAAGGAATTAGGTCATCTAAAATGTAAAGTTTTTCTTTTCTATAATACTATCGTGGTACTATAAATGAGGCCTAAAACACATGAGCATTAACTTAATGTTGTCAGGGGACTTAATGTTTAGCCAACAGGAATGAGATCAACTGCAGAAGAATAAGCTCAAGCAACATCAGAAAGGACCTAGTTAAGAAAAAATGGAAAAAATAAAAATCAGTTAAATACAGGTTTAACTTCTAGCATTGTAAAACTCAAAATACTTTCATAACCTTTTAAATTTTATAAAAAGATCAATAAGCAGCTTGAGAAAAACATGAATACATATAACATATACAGTTCAAAATATTTTCAGTATTTTGAAACTGGATAAGGAATTACTTTGTTTCATCACCCTCTGAAGTAGCATGACTCCAGTTTTCAAATATTTTTTTCTTTTTTTTTTTAAAGAATTCACTATGCAGGAGTGTTTAAAATACTGAAACAATGTTCCTATATTGTAACTGCATTTTTGAAAAGTACTAAATCAGTCAGTTCCTTACTAGCCACATACTATGATGCACCTAGCTTTTTAAATTTTACCAATGAGGTCATCTACAACATAAATCAAAAGAGAAGACTTCTGCAGATAGGGAAATGTAGTTTTCAAAGAGAAACCACTTTTGTTTTAGGTTTACATCTATTCAAGAGGTAGGTATTGCAGCCTATTCATGAAATATGCACACAGAGATATTTTCAGAAGACTCAAAAAGAAGCTAAACAAATAGCTGGCTACTAGCACAATGCTCATTAGCATATCTGCATTTGACAGTCTGCTACTGTAAATCTTTAACTTAAACACTAATCAACTGGTGTATTCCCATATTTTTAGGGAAACTAAATTAAATATAAAATTATATGTTGATTCTCATGTATTAATTCATATAGAATAAGTGAAGAAGCTAAACACCAAAAAACAAATAAATAAATAACCCATTCAATAAATGGGACAAAGACCTAAGTAGACCCTTCTCAGAAGAGGACATACAGTCAATCAACAAATATAACAAAAAAAATGTTCATCATCTCTAGCAATTAGAGAAATACAAATCAAAACTATTCTAAGATATCATCTCATTCCAGTCAAAATGGCAGCTATTATGAAGACAAACAACAATAAATGTTGGCGAGGATGTGGGGAAAAGGGTACACTCTATACAATGCTGGTAGGACTGCAAACTGGTACAGCCAATATGGAAAGCAGTATGGAGATTTCTTGTAAATCTGGGAATGGAACCACCATTTGACCCAGCTATCCCTCTCCTGGGTCTACACCCAAAGGATTTAAAAACAGCATACTACAGGGACACAGCCACATCAATGTTTATAGCAGCACAATTCACAATAGTTAAACTGTGGAACCAACCTAGATGCCCTTCACTCATGGATAAAAAAAAATGTGGCATATATACACAATGGAATTTTACTCAGCAATAAAAGAGAATAAAATCATGGCATTTGCAGGGATAAGGAGGGGGAGCATGGAAGGAATAGACAAACTCTAGATAGGGCAGGGGGTGGAAGGGGAAAGGAGGCAGCAGGGAGTTAGCAAGGATGGTGGAATGTAATGGACATCATTATCCAAAAAAATACATGTATGAAGACATGAATTGATGTGAATATACTTTACGTACAACCAGAGATATGAAAAATGAGCTCTATATGTGTAACAAGAACTGTAATGCATTCCACTGTCATTTATTTTTTTTAAAAAATCAATAAAAAATGCCAACTTGATTTTTAAAAAAAGAATAAGTCGAGAAAAAAACTTTCCCTCCAAATCCTACAAAAATTAGGCAACAAAAAAGTTGGATAAAGTTTTATAAGCACATCAAAAATAAATTTTACTCCTAAAACCACTAAGAATCTAAATATATTCAGAAAAACTTCTGGGTGATCAGAAAATAAAATACATATCAAATAAGATAATGGATGAAATATAAACTCAAAATACTTAACTAGTGGCCTAAACCTAGAAGTAGAATCACATTTTATTTAGCTCTAACATATAATTTGCACATTATAGAAAACAGCAGAAAATTCCTTTAATGTTTATGGAAAAACTAATGTGAGTTAAAATTCCTAGCACATATTTGCCCACCCTGGTTTTTCTTCCCAATTAACATCCTTAACTCTTCCCACTGTTTCTGCCTCAGAAAGAGATCTGTATTCCCTTTGCCCCTTCTTAAGGAACGACACAGAGCCAACTTCAGAATTTAACTTATACTTCATATTATTCAACTGTCTTAATGCTTCAAACTGAGGTACAACTGGCACAAAATAAGATGCATAAACCCTATGTGTTCATTTCAATGACTTTTGATAACTGTATAAATCATGTAATCCAAACCCCCCAAAAATTATAAAACATATCCATCAATCCAGAAGTTTCCTGTTCCCTCTTCAGTCAAGAGCCTTTCTGTCGGAAGCAACCACTTTCTGATTTCTATCATCACAGATTAGCTTTATTGGTTTTGAATTTTATTAATTTTAAAGTTTTTTATCCTAGCTTTTTTCAATATAATCTCTAACATTCATTCATGTCATATAGTAATTTGCTTTCTTTTGTTATTATTCCATTGTATGAATATATAACAATTTCTTTGTTCACCTACTGATAGAATACTTGAGTTGTTTTTATTGATAGAATACTTGTTTTTGAGTATTATGAATAAAGCTGCTATGAACCTTCTTATACAAATATTTCATAGATATATGTTTTCATTTCTTTTTATGAATATATGTTTTGGGTAAATAACTGGGAATGGGACTGCTGGGTCACATAAAAGAAAATGTTTTAAGAATTCTCCACTGTGCCCATTTTATATACACACTAGCAAAATGTAAGACCTCTAGTTAATTACTCCATATCCTAACATTTGGCATTGCCAGCATTTTTAATTATAGTCATTCTAGTGCATGTGAAATTTTATCTCATTGTAATTTTAACTTTGATTTCCCTTATGACTAGTAATGTGGCTATCAAGCACTTGGCCATCTTTGGTAAAGTTATCTGCTCAAGCCTTTTGCTCAATTTTATTGGCTTTGTCTTTTTATTGATACTAATCAATTCTTTGATCCTAAATAACAGACCAGAAATAGGCTGAGATAGTAGAAGTCTCTAAGTCAAATGACCTCTTCCATATGAATGAGAAGAGACAGAAGATGACTGAGTAAGTGACTGATTTATATTCCCATAGCTGAATGGAGAAAGAGTATAAGATCAGGCATCCTGATTCCTAGGAAGTATTATTTCCATTTGATCAAGTTTTTTCACTTGGGCAATATCCTTAAACAGGATTTTCAAAAGAAAGTATTTTAGATTATTATAGGCAGGAGAACAGAAGTAAAGCAGATAGTGCTACTCTAATTGGATTTTACTTGCACCTACCTACCCATTCCACACCTCCCATTTCAACCCATGAAGCTCCTGCATTTCCTTGTTTTATATGCTAAATTTGTGTAATATTTCATTTGAAGAAAAGATGTAAGAACTGCTCTAATATTATATTAGAGATGGTACTGTAATCAAATTTTCTATAATTTCATATTTATATTCTGAATGAATACAAATACTTTCAAAGAACAAATCTGATGTACTTAAATACTAAACAAGCCAAACTCAGAAAGTCAAATGTCATGTTTTTTTCTCATATGTGGAAGCTAAAGAGGAATAAGTAAAAGAAAAGATGTGGGGCAGGGGGGTCTCATAAAAATCTGAGGCAGATCAGAACTGGAGTAGAAAATAGGGAAGGGGGAGGAAGAAAAGGGAAAGGGAAAATATACAGAGGATTGACACTGACCAAATTATTGTTATATCCTATGCATATATGAATATGTAATAATGAATCCCACCTTTATATAGAATTACAATGCACCAATAAAAATGTATGGGAAAAGAATAACAACATATAGGCTTAACCTTAAGTTCCAATTCAATTCCAGCAGTAATGGCTCATAAGAGCTCTGGATTCAGAGCTTCAGTTGACGAATGTGGAATGAACAGGAAAGCAGCCACAACTGACACAGGAGCAAGTGTAGAGACTGGCAGTACATTAACACATAACTGTTAATGTAGTTATTACAATTTGGGTCTATTGTATTCTCCATCCAGCACGAAGACCATCTGGTAGTGAGTATCACCAATGTGTTTCTCAGTGAAAATATAAGGAACAGACATGCTAATTTATTCAACGTTTCTCATTTTATATCTAATTCCATACTGCACGTTTGGACCAAAGCACTATTTCTGGAGCTGCTTCTCTGTATTAAAAATGAGGAAACCCTTTAATAAAAACTTGAACATGAGGGCTGGGGTTGTAGCTCAGTGTAGCTAGCATGTGTGAGGCACTGAGTTCAATTCTCAACCCACATATAATAAAAAATAAACAAAATGTACAGTGACAACTAAAAAAGTATTTTAAAAACGAACAAAAAAAACCTTAATCATGAATTCAAAGGGTCCTCTCATATTAATTTTGGCTATCTTCATCTTTTATTTCTAACTATACTTCAGACTAATTTTCCATTAAAAAGTATATTTCTTTTTTAAATATTTATTTTTTAGTTTTAGGTGGACACAACATCTTTATTTTTATGTGGTGCTGAGAATCGAACCCAGTGCCTCACGCACGCTAGGCGAGCGCGCTACCACTTGAGCCACATCCTCAGCCCTATATTTCTTAATTGGTTTCTTTCTTCTTCTAGTTTATCTACCTTAGTGCTACCACCACATCCACCCTCTTTTGGATGCACCATTAGTATACAATTCAGCAACTGTCAATATATTCACAAAGTTTGTACAACTACCACCATTCTAATTCCAGAACATTTTTATCATCCTAAACAGAAACTCAGTACCCATTAGCAGTCAGTCCCATTCCCTCTTTTTGAGCAAACACTAATTTATACATATATATTTGCCTATTCTGGACTTTTCACATAAATTTATGTGAAATCATACAACTTCCATAGTCTCTGGAAATAGCCTCTTAGAATAATGTTTTCAAGGTTCATCCATATTATAGGATGTTATCAGTATTTCAATCCCTTTTATGGTTGAATAATATTCCATTGTATGGATAGACCACATTTAATTTATCCTTTCATTATTTGATAGATATTTATGTTGTTTCTTCTACCTTTGGGCTATTAAAAATAATAAGGAGTAGTATGTATAAATTTCTGTGTGGATTTGTTTTCAATTAAGTAGTAGTATGTATAAATTTCTGTGTGGATTTGTTTTCAATTCTCTTGAGTAAATACATAGGCACAGAACTGCTAAGTTGTATTGATAAATCTGTCTCAATTTTTTAAGAACTACCAAATTTTTCCAATGTGGCTAAACCATTTTGCACTCTTACCAGCATGTATGAGGATGACTGTAATAACTATGTACACATATTAAAGACCAAAATTTCAAATCCTATATTTTCCAAAAACTCAACTACGTTCTTTTGTCTATGAAATACATTTCTCAGGCCTTTAATACATATATTAAACATTTCTTTTAAATTTCTGTGGCTCTGTATTGAAATTTTAAAAAACTTCCTCATTTTACCATTTTATAATTTCAATTTCTAACACTCAATAATCATAACTGAATAACTTTCTTTAACTGAAATACTAACTATTGTGGAAAAATACAGAGATAAAAAATTCTATATTGGAATACAAATCACATTTTAAAAAATATTTTGTACTTCCCATTCTAGTATAGAAAACCAAGAGCTAACTATAAAGCACAGAAAAAAATTTCTCCAGGTTGCTGATTTTTAAGCATTTTATAACCTGTAAGATTTTGAAAATCATGAATTAGAAAATTTTAAGTATACTTTTGGCTGGGAAATATATATACCAAATTTACTGGCATTTAAAAAATCTCATTTGCCCTATTACAATCAACTTTTTTTAAATTTACTCTCTACTTAATGTTCCCTATCAGGCTACTAACAGCAAAAGGCAAGTAGCAGACTTGAAGGGACCAATACATTTTTCTAAGACTAGACTCACAGAGTAGCTTATGAATTTGTTTAAGATGATTTTAAAAGTGACTGAATAGTGTAATCTTAGTAATAAATGGCTGAAGAGAAAATAAAGTTAACCATACCTAACTGCTTCCTTATAAAGTTCTGCTTAGTTCTCTATTACTTTTCAAATTGTTTTAGTGGAAAAAAATCATTGGCTTTTGTTTTTAAACCAAAATTATTTTTTCAATTTACAATATATTAAAAAGTAATGATTTCAGCTTTAAAATCTTCCTGTGAAATTTTGCCAGTGTGTAACAACTAGCATAAACACACATATTTGTCAGATATTGTACCTTTATTTTAAGAATTATAGCTATTTTTTTCTAAGTTATCTAAGGATTAAAATTTAAATCTTTAAAAGCAAGGGTGTGAAATTCTAAAAAATGCAAACTAAGTGGTTGACAAGAAAAGAAGGAAGAATAGAATACAAATGGGCTTGCAGTACCTTTTAAGGAAGATGGAAATGTTTATTTTATTGATTGTATTGTCATTTTACAGACATATATACATTAATCAAAAATAACAAAAGTGTATACTTCAATTAGGTACATTTTATTGTATTTCAATTAAACCTCAATAAAGTTACAAACACACAAAGAAACAAACCCAAAGTATTTTGGGTTAGTTTCACTGTTTCCAAATTACATCCCATACAATTCAAGAATAAGCATCCCTAAAAGAAAAATCCCTCAGCAAAATCATCTTGGGAAAAGTTTAAGAGAGAAAAAAAAACTTGAAAAAAGAAAAGGTTTCTACCTTAATTATTTAATATGATAATACTCATGATAATTTTCCAAGGGGCATATGTAGTATAGCTTTCCCCAAACTTCTTTGACCTTACAGTTATTTCACTGAACAACTTGGAAAATCAACATGGGAAGAACTCTAATGGGGATTAATGTATAATGAGAAAATATTAAAAATAAAACTGAAAAATTCTTCAAATATGTTAAAACATAGCAATTACAAACTCAAATCACTCTATAGAGGTCAAGACTTGACACCTCAACAACAACAAGAATCAAAGAGGGCCAAATATGAAACAAAAAATGACTATTTCTATTGAAACTAAGTATAACTGCTTTCCTTTCAAATAACTAAAGACACCAAACAAATCATGTCTAGAGTTTCAAGTTTGATACCTTTGTACTGAGATAATTAAGGAAAACTCCTTTTAATATTAGTTTTTAAACATATAGAAAGAGAATAGTATAAGCAGCTTAGGAGAGGAAAAATCATGACTTGTGCAATGGCAATCTAGGCTTTAAAACTCAGAACAAATTGTGACTCACTAAATAAATTACGGGCACAAATGAGGAGAAGATAGAAAGCCTTAGAAACTTTTCAAGTTTCATTTCTGTCAGCAAAATCAGTCGTCATAAATCAAAATTTAAAAATAAATAAAAAGTTGTAAAGAAAGTCGTTCTGAGACCAGTATCACATATTTGAATTTTGAGCTAAAATTTAATATTTATAAAAATAAAGTTACAAGTCTCAAAAATAATAATATATTTCTTTTAGTAGTATATATCTCTAGATTATATTAATTATAATAATTAATAGTTAATGAGGACTTAATAAGTGCCAAAATAACCATACTAGATCAGTACAACTGAATCCTTACATAGATTCATAAATACTCTTTCTCAACCCCTTTGACAATGAGAAAATGGAAGTACAAAAAGGAGAATTAACTTACACAAGCACACAGAAACAGCACATGCATTGTTTACCAGGATACTCTTTTCTTTGCCTCTACATATATAAAGGAGTCTCAACAGTAATAATCCTCACTCAAGCCACAAATTACCTTTAACTTCCTACTGAAGTTTATCTTTCCCAGTAGCTTGGTGAATTCTAATAAATATTAATTTTATTGTAAATTGATCTAATAAGATTTTGGCTTGATAAGATTGAAAAATATTAGACTCCCATTTTCTGACAATTTTGAGAAATACTAGATAATATATAAAATATAACATATAAAAATATAAAAGGCTCACTCCATCTCTAATTTACAATAATGTTTATGATCTCAGTGGTTTAGTGTACACAATGAGTTCAAAGTTTTGAAAATAAAAGTTTAACTTTAAAATTTTGATTAATGAACCAGCAAGTAATAGAACTAGTAAAAACAAAACAGCCCACAAGGTTTTATTAGACAATTCTGAATATTTCTTATATCCAAAAGAACAACTTAAAACTGGTTTTCTCAAAACTAGATATATCATAATAATCCTAAGAGACTTTCTCTTACCTGTTTATTTTCTCCATATTCTTCTACACAGGTCCAGGCTGAAGAGATTGTGTTCCCTGTCTGTAAGCAGTGGAGACAGAAAAGAATTGTCTTTAGAGTGATGTTATCCCTATCTTGGAAGTGCATGGAATCCTTGATAGCTTTAGTTAAAAACTTCTGATCATTATATAAGAAAATAAATTTAGAGAAAAAGAAACAAATGGCAAATAGTTATAACTTCTGAAGTTTTGTAAAGATGAGCAGAGAACACTATTTTTATATCTAAATGAAAATTACAGCTAATATATCAAAATATATTTATCTTTCTAAGTGAATTAAGTTCTTACTAGAACTTAATTTCTTGGACTTTCCAAGAAATACTACTCTATTCAGGTAAAGAAAGGATTTTAAAAATAAATGAGATTACCTAATTTATAAGAGCCAAAGAATCTAAGCAAAATTTACTTAAAACCTAAGTTAACCATATATAGCACACTGTGGGCATCCATCTATTTTAGTGGTTATTTCTTTTTTATATTCCTTAAAGCTTTCTGTCAAGGATATACATGGAATTACATGCTAAAATAACACTGTGCATAAGTTATTAAAATACAAACAATAAGTGTTGGCGAGGATGTGGGGGAAAAGGCACACTCATACATTGCTGGTGGGACTGCAAATTGGTGCAACAAATCTGGAAAGCAGTATGGAGACTCCTCAGAATACTTGAAATGGAACAACCATTTGACTCCTGGGTTGATATCTAAAGGACTTAAAATCAGCATACTATAGTAACACAGCCACATCAATGTTTATAGCAGCTCAATTCAAAATAGCTAAACTATGGAACCAACCTAAATGCCCTTCAGTAGATGAATCGATAAAGAAATTGTATATATACACAATGGAATATTACTCAGTATTAAAAGAGAATAAAATTATGGCATTTGTAGGTAAATGGATGGAGTTGGAGGATATCATGGTAAGTGAACTAAGCCAATCCCCAAAATCCAAAGGCTGAATGTTCTAATAAGTGGATACTGATCCATAATGGGAGCAGGGACATGGAAAAAATGGAGGAACAGTGATTGGGCAAAGGGGAGGGAGGCAAGGGGGCATGATGAAAGAAAGAAAGATGTTGGAATGTGATGGACATTATTGCTCTAGGTACATGTGTGACTGCATATATGGTGTGACGATACATTGTTTATAACCAAAGAAATGAAAAGATGTGCTGCAATTGTGTACGATGAATCAAAATGCATTCTGCTGTCATATATACCTAATTAGAATAAATAAATAAATTTTAAAAAATAATGTGCATGCATAAACATAAACAAGTGAAAATGGTTGAAGTTCTACAAAAAACTTTTGTAGATTTTAAGGAACCATTTAAAGATTACAATCAGTACAAAAAAATTAACAATATCTTGTTTTCATACAATAAACTAGATTACATTAATAAACTTTGTTTTTAATCATTAAAAACAGCATCTGTTTGAAAGCAAGCCTGTGACAATTTACAGGGTCATTACTTGAAGGGTGCTGCACGTTTTCCCTTCAAGGGTTGGCCAAATTCCAAGAGGGAGATTAAAAGCAAAAGGTGACAAAAGACAAGTTTTTAAGGCTAGGATGACAAAAAAAAGAGCTAAAGAGCTATGATGAGGCATGACTAGAACCCAGAGTATAAAACTAAGTCAGAAGTTGTCCCACTTTAACATACTAAATTCAACTTTGTATCTTCTTAATTTCTGCCTAGAATATAGGACTGTCAGTCTTAAGCCAAAATAAATGCTTTCTGAATAAAGATAACATTAGGTTCACCTTCAAATCATCTCTATAATTTTTCACATGCAGTATCTGGCATTCAATAAAAAAATGATCAAGTATATCAGGAAAGAAAACCTGCACTAAACACAGCTGTCACCGGTAAAAGACCTCCAAGGTGTATAGATAACAAAGTTTTATAACTAATTATTAAAAGCATTGTGCCTAGGGGTGGGGGCTTTGGCTCAGTAGTAGAATACTCAAGTAGCATGTGTGAGGCACTGGGTTTGATCCTCAGCACCACATAAAAATAAACACATAAATATTGTGTCCATCTACAACTAAAAAAATATTTTTTTAAAAACTGTGCCTAATATACTCAGGGAATAAAAGACTAAAAATTTTGGAAGACAATAGAAATCATAAAGAGTTGAATGAAATCATAGAACTGAAAAACAAATCCAAATAAATGGTTTTGTCAGCATGTTAGACACAGATGAAAACAATAATTCATGAACCAAATAACATATAAGAAGACAGACTAAATTATGAATAGAAAATATAGAATGAATATAATCCATTATGTGGGACAGAGTAAGAAGGTCTAACATGCATAACTGGGATACTGTAAAGAAAGAAAAAAGGAAATGGGACGAAAGCAATATTTGAAAACAGAAAAAATTTACCTTTCTAAAACAAACAAAAAAAGGACTGCTAACCTAGCAAAAATATCCTTTCAATCAAAAAGTACAACCAGACAACCAAAAACTAAGATAATTTATCATCAGCATCCCCATTTAAAAGGAAATATGGGCACATGTTCTTGAGGCAAAGTAAATAAACCATTCTGGTAGAAGCATGGAGACATAGAAAGAAATGAAGGGCGAAGGAAATAATAAATGCATAAATAAATATAAACATATATTAAGTGTAAAAACTACTATAAATTAGTTATTGTAGGGTTTAAAATACGTAAGGGGTAAACTACATAGAAATATCAATTAAAATATTTAAATTGGAAGAAAAAATGAAAAGAACTTAACTTCCTTGTATTGTCTAGACTATAAGAATTAAAGTACTAACATTAAACTTAAATAAGTTAAGAATGCATTTTGTGGGGTTGAGGTTGTAGTGAGGCATTGAGTTCAACCCTCACAGCACCACATAAAAACAAATAAAAGTATTGTGTCCATCTACAACTAAAAAAAAGTTCTTTAAAGAATTAATGTTGTAATTTACAGAGTAATCAAAGAACAGTCCAGGTAGAATTAGTAATACTAAAGAAAAGAATGCAAAGAGACAATATGAAAAAATATAAACAAATGGCAAGATGAGAGACTTAATCCCAAACACATCAACAAATACATTAAATGCAAGCTGACCAAATACTGCAAGGATAGACTTTGAACAAACAACAACAAAAAATCATAACCGCATATTGGGGGCATCTCAATGCTAAGAAACAGGAAATCTGAAAAGATGGGAAAATATATAATATACAAACTTTCACCAAAAAAAGTTATTACAATATCAGAGAAAAGTAGCCCTTAAGGAAGAAATGCATTACAGAGACAGTGTGACACAAAATATGATAAAGGGTTCACTTCACCAAAAACAAAATTCTAAATTTCTATGTACCTAATGCATAACCTCAAAATATATAAAGCAAAAATTGACAGAACTTAAAGAGAGAAAAACAAGTCTATATTTACAATGGGTGATTTTCATAACCCTCTCTAAAGGAATTTTTTGTTTTGTTTTGTTTTTTGGTGGTGCTGGGGATTGAACCCAGGACCTTGTGCATAAGAGGCAAGCACTCTAACAACTGAGCTATATCCCCAGCACTAAGAATTATTTCTTTTGTAAAACTATGAAAAAGAAATTTAGACTAACAAACTTCACCTAAATAGTACATGTAGTGGTTATAGGCTAAATTGTGTTCCCAAAAATTATGTCAAAATCTAAATACACAGTACTTCAGAATGTAACCCTCCTCTTTGGAAATAAGTGCACTATAGATGTAATTAATTTAAATGAGGTCACACAGAAGTGGGGTAAACCCTTAATCTAATGTGAATGATAAATAAGAGTAGAGAAATAAGAGAATTTCATGTGCAGACACAAAGACACAAAGAGGAAAGAGCCATATTATTACAGAGACGGAGACCAGAATAATTCATGTATAGACAAAGGGAATTCAAAGACTGCTGGCAAATACTACAAGCTCTCCTGTAGGCTTCAGAAGGAACATGATCATTGAACATCTTGATTTATGATTTGTAGCCTCCAGAACATGGGAAAATTAACTTCTGTTGTTTATAAGCCATTCAGTTTGTGGTAATTTGCCCCAGCAGCCATGAGGATACTGATAATAATGCAATCACCAGTTGCAAACACATTTTTTAAAAAAAATAAATGAAACAATACAGAATATACCTTCTAATTATTGCAAAATGAGTACCAAAATTATGACTACAACAGTTTTCATATGTAGAAATTAATACCCATGGGTCAAGAAAAAAATCAAAACAAAATATTTTAAAATGCTGACAAAAATGAAACACATAAAACAGTTATAGAAATAGTTTTTACCATACTTAAGAGGAAAATTTAGAGCCTTTAAATGCACATAGTATGATTTTTTAAAAGGCTAAAAATGTTAAACTTGGACGGCTCCTTAAGCAATATGTATATAAAATCAAAGGAGATATAATATCAGACATACACAAACTCTTCCAGAGATAAAGAGAAGAAATTTCTGAACTATTTTTATGAGGAAACTATGGGCCAATCTCACTTATAAACATAGATAATAAAAATTCTAAAGACAATATAAAAATAAAATATAGAAAATATAAAAGAGATAATGTACTATTACCAAAGTTGGTTTATTCCTAAGTACGAAGTGCAAAGTTGAACATTCTGGTATCAATGGCAATTTGCTACATTTGGGGTTGTGACTCAGTGGTAGAGTGCTTGTCTGGCATGTGTGAGGCACTAGGCTCAATCCTGAGCACCACAAATAAATAAATAAATTAAATAAAGGTTTATCAACAACTAAAAATTTTAAAAAAACATAACAATAATGTTATAACAATCTAAATACATACAAAAAAGTATGATAAAATTCTTCGTCCATTCGTGATAAAAAATAAAACCTGAGAACAGAAGGAAATATCTATTAAGTGATAAAAGGCTTCTATAAATAAAAGCTATAGCAGACATCCTAGCTTAATGAAGAAATATTTTAAAAGTTTATAAGGATGTCTGGACAGCAGTTCTAGCCAGTGCAAAAAGTATATGAATAGAAAAGA